GGTATATCCTGCAAAAGTAGAACCCCCCCCAAAAAAATTAAACATGACTGCCCATGAGAGGGAGGAAGAAAATTGTCCTTGATGACCAATGACAATATACAGTACCAAGCACTGGGGTAAGATCCATTCAATGTTACTTTTGAAGTCCAAAATGACATTAAAAAATAATGCATTTAAAGTCAGGCAGACCTTGGTTCAAACTATGTTCCTGAATATGGGGCTTGAACTCATCTATAAAATGGGGACAATACCACCTCCCTCATCTGGCTATCATGAACATCGAGTAACATAAAGAGCAGCATGATTCTAAAAGTCAGTTCCCACTCTCCTACTAGAGTTTAACTATTCTGTTATGTCCCATCTAAGAATTCCAGACCATCACTTCCTGTCATTCTGTCCTCCAATTTTCAGTTTATAAATTTGTTACAATTTTCATTAACTTAGAACAGGGCTAACCAGCACAACTTTCTGTAATTATGCAGAGATGATCCTACTGCACCATTCAGTGTAGTAGCCGTTGCCACTGAACCCCTGAAATGGCTACTTCAACTAGGAGCTGAATTTTAACTTTAGTTCTTTTGAATTAATACCTGCATGTGGCTAATGACTACCACATTAGACAACAAAGATTTAGAATGAGGCCAAAACAGATAACTAACAACAGTATATTATTCAGCTATTTCATTTTAACTATTACCTTCAAACACCAATCTGTTCCTCCCACACATAAACCTTTCCACATAATTAAATTGGTCATATTTTGGTTAATTACTATGTCACAGAATTAGATGACTTAGTTCCCTCATATAAAGTTTTTATACTTTTTCAAAATGCACTAATCAGAAGAGAAGTCATTGGAGACAGTCAATCCGCTAATAGTCAACTGATCAAAAATAATCAACACAAGGGCCACAGATTTAGCTCAGTGGTTCCGCCACCTGCCTCGCAAGCATAAGGTTCTGAGTTCAATCCCCAGTACAAAATAATAATAATAATCAACACAAGATCATTCAGAATAAGGTTTAGTCAGATGTGTCTTATTTTCAAATTTATATTTGACGCCGCCTGCTTTGCAAGCGCAAGGACTCAAGTTCGATCCCCAGTATCCAATTTATATTTGATTTCCTGCAATTAAAAGTATACTAATGTTTGTCAATTTTGTTTATTCTTTCAAAGAACCAACTCTTGGCTTCACTGATTTTTTTGTATTGTTCTCTTGGTCTCCATTGCATTGATTTCTGCTCTGACCTTTATAATTTCCTCCCTTATATGAGCTTTTGGGTTTATCCTGCTCTTCTTTTTCTAAAAGCTTGAGGTTCAGCATCAGATTGTGTAATTGAGCTTACTGTTTTCCTAATATGAGTATTCACTGCTATGAATTTCCCTCGTAAGAATGCTTTCATTGTGCACCACAGATGCCAATATATTGTACTGTCACTGTCATTTAATTGTAAGAACTGTAAAAGTAGAAATAGCAAGTAAACATATGAAAAAATGTTCAACATCACTGGTCATTCAACAGATGCAAATGAAAACCATGCTTAGATTCCACCTCACCCCAGAAAGAATGGCTGCTATCACAAAATCAACCAATAACAAATGCTGGCAGGGCTGTGGGGAAAGAGGAACCCTGCTCCACTGCTGGTGGGAGTGTAGACTGGTGCAACCACTGTGGAAATCAGTATGGAGATACCTCAAAAAAGTAGGGTTGGAGGTCCCATTTGACCCAGCTATCCCCCTGCTAGGTATCTTCCCAAAAGAATTAAAAGAATTATACCACAGTGATATATGTGCACCCATGTTCACAGCAGCACAATCTGTAATCGGTAAAACTTGCAAACAGCCCAATTGCCCATCAATGAGAGACTGGAAAAGAAAATGTGTTTTTTTTTATAAAATGGAGTACTATTCAGCCATAAAGAACAAGAAACTAGAGATATTTAGAGCTAAATGGATGCACATTGAGGCGATACTCTTAAGTGAAATAAATAGGACACACGTGTAAACACCAGTTAGTTTCTCTGGTATGAGAAACTGAAAGTATAAAGACTAAAAGGTGTAATAGATAATGTGAAATAGGAAGAAAAGTGCAAAGGGGAAGGGAAAGGGGAAGTGGGAGGCATACAGGAAAGAAAAGAAGGGAATGGAATTAATATGAGAAAATGAAAAAACGGAAACAAAGTCTTTGTAAATATATAGGGAGGGAAGGGTTAAAGGGAGGGCAGGAGAGTGGGGAAAAATGAAGAACTAAGACGGATCATGTAAAGGGGCAAATTTCCAATAATGAATGTCATTATATTGTAAATCTTATATGTACCAATAAAATTAATAGTAAAAGTATACACACACACACACACACACACACACACACACACACACACGGACCAGGGATTAGCTCAGTAGTATGGCGCCTGTCTTGCAAGTGCAAGGTCCTGAGTTGGATCCCCAGTACCAAAAAAAAAAAGTATACTAAAGTAGCTTCCTATTTTAAATAAGCTTTCCTTAACATATGCAAATGATCTTTTTGTGACAGAAAAAATTATTTCCTAGTTTGGTATACATTTTAGAAGGGTCATATTTTGGATTTTCTTCATATATACTACTCTTGGAAATCAACTATATATGTTCTACACATGCAAAATTCATTAGTCATCCCCTATCACAATTTTTAAACCATCTTATCAGAAATGGCCAATGTGACGATAACATCCCAGCCATCTTCTTAACACCTCTGCTATGTGCTGCGGTTACCATGGTGACCCCTGCCTCGGGAAACTCGGAGTCCAACAGTACACAGTGACCAGGGAAAAGAGGTGAGTTTCCCCAAATTATTTTCAGATCTCTTTAAGCAGAAGCTTGGAAAGCATTTCATCCTAGACTCTTCCCATGACATGAGTCCTCACTGTGGAAGGCTTTAGGACTTTCCAAGTTTTCAAAATAAAAACAAATGATGGTTATTTCCAAAAGCACAAAAAACTGAAATTTAAACATTCTTAAACTACTTACATGAAGGTTCTCACTCTAATTTTAGGCGTAGTGAAAGAATTACTCTTTGTCCACCAAATATATCCCAAATGCAAAGGGAAGTACGCTTAGTGTAAAAATTAAATCAAAAGCTATTTGTAAAGTATTAATGGTCTCTTTCCCCAACAGAACAAACGATGCTCAGGGGAAGTCCTGGCTGGAAACTAGACTGCACTTTAAGAAGTCTCCTGTTTTTAGAGCTTTTGCTTCTCTTTTGCAAGTTTTGTCCTTTCCCTCTCCACTCCCTGAATGCTCCAAGAATCAGTCACAGATTGTGTTTTTGAGCCTCCACTTTATTATATCATAATCTACATATGCGCTACCTAATTCCATTCAAAACACAATGCTGGAGGGGTAACTATGTATATTCATATTTGCAAAGCTTTTGGTATGAATGCTTCATTTTATTTTTGTTTTGTCTCTTTGAGACAGTTTCTCTTCATAACTGAGGGTGGCCCTAAACTCACTAGTGTAGCCTAGGCTGGTCTCAAACTCAAAGGGATCCTCCTGCGTCAGCCTCCTGAGTCCAGGAATTATAGGTGTGAGCCACTATACCCAGCTGAATGATTCATTTTATTCCTTCAACAACCTACCATTTAGGCAGGAATGCTTACTAGGAGAACTGCTTTTAAAGTCAAGAAAAGAAGGTAATGCAGAGACCTGTTTAAAGTTATTCGTCTTCAGGCCAGTCCTGGTGGTGCATGCCTGTAATCCCAGCACTGGGGAGGCTGAGGCAGAAGGACTGCTGTGAGGTTGAGACCAGCCTGGGCTACACAGTGAGTTCCAGAGCAGTCTGAACTACATAGTGAAACCCTGTCTCAAAAAACTAAAAAAGAAAAAAAAAAAAAAGTTTATTTGTCTTCAGATTTAGGATTAGGACCTCAATTTTCTGTCTGTTAGTCCAGGGCTCTCTCCAATGTACTATACTGCCTCTGCTTATCTATAATATTCTCAGCAATACCTAATTTTACTTCCATAAAACACTGTCACCATTAGATTTCATTTATTCTTTCATTCCTGCCGAATATATAAAAATATAAAATATGTGTTAATAACAAATGTCTGCTAGTAGCAACTCTCTCTAACTGTAATTCTTTGGAGTCACTGAAAAGTTGATGAAAAATAAGAATATCAATGACAGATCTGAGAGAATACAACCTTACTGAAAATGAATAAACCCTCAAACCAAATCTGTGTAACTTTTAAAACTAATAAAAAATGTAATTACCAAAATAAGTAATAATTCTGTAACAAAAATACTGTAAATTCACTAGATTGCCAGTACTCAGTACTTTAGTACCTTTAGATAAACTTCAATAGTCATAAAATTCAACCAACAAATTCCACAAAACCTGTAATTTAAAGCAGTATTCCTTCTAAAGTTCATAAATGTCCACTGCAAGCATTAGTTCCCACTGACTCAGTAAAGAATTATTCCTTACATTTTTTTTAACTCTACTTATTTTAAAGAGCCTCTTGGTATCGAGAATTTCACTGTCATGCATCTTGAAAAGTATTATCCTCCCTAACTATGTCTCATGAAATACCAGTATTTGTTAAAATCCATGCTTTCAAATGAGGGGCCAGATAATCGATTTTGGATTACCATTTTTCAAGAAAGAAATATTTTTACAACATAATTTCTCAAAGACTTTAACACATTAATATGCCTAGTAAATCTCTGAAAGGGAGATATACTGTATTTCCAATTTGACATCATCATCACTATTTATTTTAATGTAATATCTACTAAAATTTAGATTTCCCAATTCAACATCATTATCACTATTTATTTAATGTAATATCTACTAAAATTTAGAACCCACTTGGGAATGCTACAACAATTTTTGCAGCCCATCTGTCTTTGCTCATGTCAGTGAGTTCTGAATTTAAGAAAACAAATGAAGGATCCTATGTCTCTTAATGTACCAAGAAAAAGTAAACACTCTTTCACAACTACCCACCCTGGCAGGATGAAATGACCAAATCCCTAAGTGCAACCCACACAAGCAAAAGGCCATATCCACTACCAATGGTGCTGCTGTTTGCAGCCAGTGTACCCCTGGAGTCCAGTGGGCTGAACTGGACGCACAATTTATGGTACTCAAGTCTTCTGATGGCTGCTTCACTGTCAATGTTCTGCTGCTAGGTTACGATTCTAACAAAGCAAAGAAGTTAAAGTGGTGAAAGTAATATATTGAAACATCAATATCTTTATTATTAATATTTAAATATTAACATGTCAAGGTACAAATAAGTATGAAAAAAGAGGGACATGCCCACTCTTCATTTTTCACATGCAGGACATGAATGACAAGATATACAAAAATGTAAGCCTACCTTCTACTAAACATTTCTCGTTGCTGTGACCAGGTAAACTAAATAGCACATTAATCAATATGATACATGCAATTCAGATATTAGCTTTCTGAAAACCCATAATTTCATATAGATTCACCAACTTTTTAAACTGCATTTCTCACACACACACACACACACACACACACACACACACACAATCACAACTCCAGCAGGGAGAGAATAGGTACCTAAAAGCACCCAGCTGACACAGGCAATTATCTTCCTACCAAACCCCACCTCCCTCTCACCCCATCACCTGCTCCTCTCTCCCTATGCTCCCTGAAGAGCTGCAGGTATACTCATCGGCAAGAACATTTGGGCTGGTTATCATCTGCCAGTGAGGGAGTCTGGACCCAAGAGGCAGCACCTGCACGAACCACAGCTAGACATTTCAAAGATCTGGTAGTTCTCTAAAGTGTAAGAACTCCTATGTAAGATAGAAAGGTCAACAGGACGAATTTTAGACATGCAACTTTCTAATGAGTTTCCATGAAAGCAGTTAAGTGCTATGGACTGATGTTTGTGACCCCTCAAAACTACTGTGTTGAAACTACTCCACAATGTGCCAGTACTTTGAATTAAAGCCTTTTGGAAGTATCCAAAGGGATTAGTAGCCTTGTAAGAAAAATACAAATGATCTCTCAGCCATGAGAGGATAAAGCAAAAAAGCGGCCATCTGCAAGTCAAGAAGTGGACCCTCGGGCCTGGGGTTTAGCTCAGTGGTGCTGGCGCCTCCCTCAGAAGCACAAGGTCTTGAGTTCAATCCCCGGTAGCAAAAAAAAAGAAGAAGAAGTGGACCTTCATCAGAAACTCAATCTGCTGTCACCTACATCTCACACTTTCCACTCCAGAATGGGTCAGTACATGGTTGCCCTTTGTGATACCCAGGCTATGGTGTCTTATTCCATCCACCGATGAGTAAGACAAAGAGAAACTGCAGCTCTCCAAATTATAAAAATCTCAAGAATGAATTAAAAAATTACAATAGCACATTATCTCTAGATAATTTTTAAAGTTTTTTTCACATTAAATTTTACTAACTGCAGCATCATCCTAAATGATTCTCCATTCAAGTTTCAAAAAAGTAAAATCCTAAACTTTGCAGTTTAAAATAAAATCTTAATATCTGCATATACAAGGTATCAATAAATAAAATGAAACCAGGAATTGTTTACATTTTTAAACTCCATTTACTAATATTTTGGTATGTGAGTTTTATACCAAGCAATTTTGAGTCAAAAACAAAAGACCAGAATAAAACCAGATTCTAGGGAAAAAAAATTTAAGAACTATTTTTCAAAGTTTTTAAGCATAGGTTCACTTTACACCACACTAATCTCACCTTCCTTATCCTCACAACTACTCTATTAAAACTGGCTCCAAATTAAGCCAAAGCTAAGAATTTTCTCAAACAATCTTCAAAGACTTAACAATTAAAAAATAAATTCCCACTCCTCTAACACTGGGTACTCGCAACAATGAAAGAGATCAAGAATTTAGCTGGGGATTTAGCTCAGCAGTTCGGTGGCCTGCCTTGCCAGCCCAAGGACCCGAGTTCAATCCCTGGTACCAAAAAAAAAAAAAAAAAAAAAA